GTGTAAACCCATAAGTGGCAATGACACGGCCCAGGTGTCAAGGGGCCACGTGGGGAGATGGATGACCATCTGACGACCATGAAGTCCCCGTCCTCCCTCCCCACGGCCTGCAGAGCCTGCGTAGCCCCGGCCGTGCGGGCGACGGCCTGTGGCTGCCCCCAGCGCCGTGCTGGAGGGCACCTCCCAGGAGGCATAGGTGCCTGATCGGCACAATTGATTTAATCCCGGCAGCAGCTGGTAATGAAGAGATACCTGACGTGATTCCTTTTGTTAACTCTTTAATTGAAATTGCTGTTTCTATAGGTCAAAAACGGCTGAATATCCACAATTTCAGTGAAGGTGCTCCCTGGCCCTCTGCCCGCGCCGCCCGCACGGGCTGGGCTGGCCCTGCCAGGCGGCGCTGCCACCCCAGGGTCCATGGCCCCGGCACGAGCGCTCCAGCAACACGCGCAAACAAGCCTTCAGGCTGTGTCTGGAACAGCCCCTTTGTTGTTTTCCTGTCAATATTACTCGGTGGTCTAAGATAATGGAAAGAAATCTAGACAGGCAAAGTTTGAAATCATGTAAACCAGACTCTAAACAACAAGTTTAGGCTACCTCAGGAAAGCATACAGGATTCATATCACAAATCCACCTGCTGCTATCTGCCATTATTTAATCATCTACCTTTCCGGTGATTCAATTCAAGCCTGGGTCGCTGTCTTTCATTTTCATCAGAAAAGGCTGCTTCTGACAAACGCCGGGCCAGCACCATCCCGCCCCTGGGCTCCCCTGGACGCGCGGTGTCTCCGGAGCTGGCTGGCCGCGAAGGCCGACTGGCTTCGGGAGGCACAGAGCAGAGGCGCAGAGGAGCGAGGCGCTGGCGGGCGGGCGCTGTGCCGCCTCTCTGTGGCCGCGCAGGAGCGAGTCCCGGGAACCGGGAACCAGGCTGTGCCAGGTGCCTCCACAAGAAGGGCGGGGGTAGCCCCGGCCCGGCACCAAATCGCAGAGGAGGACCCTCCCCAAGAACCAAGGGTGCCCAGAGCTCCCGAGATCCTATAGATCAGCCTCCACCTGGCTCTTCTTGTGGCTGGAGGGGACAGCCCACTGCTGGGGCAAGGGACAGCTCACGCCAGGGGAAGAAAGTTTCCTCAACCAAATCCCAACGCCTGTCCGCTCTGCCTCCTCCTCAAAGACAAAACCTAACCATCGTCCTGGCATTAATATTTTCCTAAATCTTGACTATCAAGTCTTCCACCAGAAATGTATAAAAGTAAATTTGACTGACAGTGTTAAGCCAGATCACCTGGAGGTGACAGGTTAGATGCCAGCCCTTCTCGCACCGGCTGAGGACAAACGCAGCTGTCATCCACTTGCCCGTGGAGCCCTGCTGGTCTGCACCGAGCGGCCGAGAGCCCCAGACAGGAGGGAGCCCCACGCCCACAGCCTCGCACCAGCAGGGTTCACCCCACCCGGCTCCCAGGGACTCGGGGAGATCGGGGAGAAATGCTGGCACTTACGAGCTCACAAAACCAGAGGCTGGTGGGGAGCCGGTGATGGCAGCAAGTGCAGACACACACTCGCCTGCTCCTTGCCCAGCACAGACCACTCAGCACCGCGCAATCCTGGGCGGTGCTGAGTGGGCGCAGTGGTGGTGCCAGCTGGGCCTTGTCAGCAGGGGTGGGGACGTCCCCACCAGCTGGCTGTGCTGGGCCCTGCCCCTCTGACTCTGTCAAGGAGGTGACTGCTTGGCACAGGCAGTCAGTCACCATGGGATGGCAAAGGAGGGCAACCTGGAAGGGCAACTTGGAATGGCCCATACCAGGTGCACATGGGCCAGAACCAGGCCAGGCACGGGGCGGAGGAGATGTGGGTGCGCTCTCCAAACGGCTCCCACTGCTCCCTGAGCCTCCCCTCCCGCCACACACGCAGACAGCCAGCAAGACCCCGGGGCCTTCCCAGGAAGACAGAGAGGGTGGCAGTGGGGCCCGGGCCTCAGCCAGCTGGGTCTGCAGGTGCTGCTGATGGCGGGGACCGAGCACGGCCACTGCCTGTTCCCTACCTCACTCCATGTCTGCTCCATGCCCGCTCCTGTGGGGTTGTCCACTGACTGACAGGGTCACAGAGAAGGGCAGAGATCACCAGGAAACTGTTCCCAAGGCAGAGTTCCAGACCAGCCCCTGCCCGTGTTGCTGGGCATCACTCTCTCCATTCTGCTGACGCCTCAGAGCCCTCCCACCATGGCGGCATTGTCCCCTCCCACCAGCCAGCACCTCTAGACAGGGCCGTGCCGTGCGCCTTGGGGCACTACTCACATCCGATCAGATAATTCTTTGTCATGGGCTTCCCTGAGCACTGAAGGGTGTTGACAGCACAGCATCCCTGTAGCTCACCCCCCTTGGGATAACCAAAAGCCCCTCCAGACATTGTCAAGTGTGCCCTCCGCAGTAAGAGTGCCCTTGGCTGCCTATAAACCAGACTGGTGTCTGGGCAGTCCAAAGGGAAGGAGCATCTCCCTGCAGGAGCCTGGGGGGCGAGGGGGAGGGGCCTGCCTGGCAGCCGGGCGCCCTCGGGGCAGGGGTGGGGGCAGAGCCAAAAGTGCTGCTAGGTCAGTGTCTGCGTCCCGGAGACAGACGGGTCCCTCCTCCTCTGCGCTCTGTCCTGTTTCAGAGCCGTCAGCTGGGCTAACAGTCCCAGCTGGGCCACGTGCTGTGGTCACCACGTGGGACGCACCTTGAGTTTTGTGGAACCTTGTACGGAGCCCATTGCTGAGCTGCACAACATCCACAGTCCCCTTTGATTAAGGGGGCACCTGTGCCTTGTGGAGTGACAGCGCCCAGGTCTGGGTCACTCAGAGAAAGAGCAGGGTGGCCACAGCGCTCTGGCCTCTGCGGTGTGCAGCATGCACCCTGCGAGCCCCGCTCCGCACGCGACGGCTCCGGGCAGAACTCTCATCGCTTATTGACAAAATCAGGCACAGTGATGAAGGCCTCCGTGTACACAATTCACTAGATCCTGACTGTCTTCACTCACCATGCTGTGCGCAGCCCTGAAGAGACCTCTAGAAGTTACTTAATTCCCTTCCCAATTTCAAGAAAGGCCCAATTTCAAGCTGGCCAGACAGCTTGCAGCCCTCCTGGGCACGGGCCCCACACAAACCCACTGCCAGTGACAGACAAGATACTTTCCATCAAAAGCACACTTAGATTTTTGCTTTTCTGCCTTTTAAAAAAATCACCTTCCTGCAGGCCTCTTGGCTGGTAAGGGTGTGGCTGCGTGTGCAGATGGCCCAGGGCAGCGACAAGGGGACAGGATGGCCCAGGACAGCAAGGGGGCTGGGAGTGCAGCAAGGTGGGGAGGAGGGAGTCGCCTGGCTGAGTGAGGGAGAGAAGATGCCACGGCAAGTCTGGGGGGCCGGGCCCGGGACTGTGCGCTGGGCGCAGGGACCGCAGGCATCTTGGTGCTCCTGGAGCGGAAAGCGGGGGGAGTCGTGCATATTTCCCCCGGGCCGTGGCGTGTCCACAGTCCTGCATCGAGGCAAAGCAGTGATGTCCGAGCCTTCTGTGGTTCTGAAACTGCTGTAGTGACAAGAGTTTTTCCTGGTCCCTCTCTTGAAACACAGGAGAATTATGTGTACGTGTATTCAGAACTCAAGAAAAATTAGTCCTGTACTTGACAACCACCCACAAGCATAAGGACGCCAGAGTGCTTTGCATGCCTGGATGGCACAGACCTGTGGGCACCAGACTGCCCAGAAGGACAAAGGGCCCCGGGAGCCATCAAGGATACAACAGGGCCAGAGGGGCTCGTGGGCTGGTGTGGGGACCGAGAGGGGAGGGAGGACGCAGGGAGGAGAGGGGCAGAGGACTCTCCTAGGAGTCCTGCCTCCCACACACTGTCCCGTCTGGCCTGCACTATGGTCTGAGGGCGGCACACAGTAGCCCCACCCCAGCCCCACCCCGCACTGCCGTGAGGGCTGCAGAGCACAGGAACACACCCTATCTCTGCCGACGGGGCCACCAGGCCCACGGCCCCACGAAGCACAACCTGCCCTCCTGAGAGAGGTCCCCAGGCCCTGCCCAGCTGCCACTCCTGACTCCCACTGGATGCTGCGCCCACCCATGTCGGCCTCCCTAAGTCGGGGCAGAGCAAGAACCGCACCGCCCAGACATGAAAAGCCGTGCCCCGTAGGCTGCGTCCACCCCTCAGCAAGCCCCGGCGCGGAGAATCGTGGGGTTCTGCTGCCTCCGCCCACCGCTGAAGCCAGGGCTCACACTCGCCTAAACTCTCCATTCCTGAACCCCTCGCTGAAAGCACCGGATCGCAGAGGGTGCAACAGGCCCAGGACAGAGCACCCAGCACCTCTCCCCTCCCAGGTTTCACTGCACAGCAGTTTGGCTGAGTATCAGGCGGTCTGGGCCAAGAAATAGCTACAAACCTAAAAACCCCCCAAGCTGAGCGCCCGCTGCGGCAGCTCTGTGAGCACCCGCCCTGCGCAGCCCCACCTGCCGATCCTCAGGAGGCTGCCGGCCCTCGCGGCTGCCATCGTTAGTGACGTGCAAGTGCACTGTTTATTACTGGAGCTCCTCCGGTCCAAGCTGAAGAGCAGATCTCTGCTTCACAACATGGACGGGGTCACAAATCCAGCGTGGGGTCAGAGACGCCCAACACAAGAGAGCACCCACAGCGCGACCCTCAGCGTAAGTTCAGAAGGTCACAAAGCGAATCGTGCGGACACACACCTGGCAGCGAGACCTTCGCAGGGCAGGCCTGGATGGGGCTGTGCGCGGGCTGCCGGGAGGGCTGCCGAGTCTCTTCTGTGACCAGGGGCTGGTCACAGACTGGTGCATGCAGATTTGCTGAGCTGAACGCTTTCTATGTGTGTGCTTTGCCATGCATTAGAACATCAAGAGAAAGTCTTCTTGTTCTCGGAACCACAGGACTGGCCTGGGAGGCCGCCCCGCGTCCCAGCCCTCTCGGTGCCCGGCCTGACCGTCGGAGCCGGGTGGCCACACACTCACCTGCTGCAGCCCGTCCTCCTGCCTCCTGCTCTGGCCTGGGCGGTGGATGAAGGACCTCGTGGAGACCTTGTAGTGATTCAGCAGGCAGACGATGACCACAACCATCACCGTGACCACCACGACGATGATGATGATCTGGGCAAACTCCAGCTCCGCTGTGACAGAAGAGGAGATCGTGTTAGACGGCCGCACCTCTGGCCCGCACCCAGTCCCCCAGGCGCCCAGCGGCTCGAGCCACTGTCATCGCTACAGACACCAGCCTCCTGCCCACATCTAGTCCTCAAGGGACCTCATGCAATGGAAATGACCACCCCACTGTGGAGAGGAAGAGCCCAAGGCACAGCCCGAGGCCACGTGTGGCTGGGCTGCGGGTCAGATCCAGTGCTGTGGGACCCTGCCGCCTGTGCATCCGACCACACCTGACGCCACTGGATCCAAGCTGCTGCCCGAGGCCCCCGGCAGACTTTGACATTGTGTTTTGCTTAGTTTTTTGGCAGTGATGGGTCTCACTATGTTGCTCAGGCTGGTCTTGAACTCCTGGTCCCAAGCGATCCTCCCACCTCAGCCTCCCAAAGTACTGGGATTATAGCCGTGAGCCCCTGTGCCTGGCTAGACTTTGACATTCTAAGAACATCCTAAAGAAAGGGGGTCCTGCAGAGCGCCGGTGCTCCGCCTGATGCATTGCACACACCTTGTCTTTGCAGTTGCACAACGAGGGGCCTCACGGAAATGTGTTCTGTTGGCCCCACAGACCTCTAGACATGCTGCCGTAACTGTCCCCAGTTCCCACACACGCCGGCCACAGCAGGCCACTCGCTGTGGGTCATCCCTTGTGGTGGGCAGGCTTGGGTGCCACCTTCTCTTGAGTATGGAATGCCCAGGGCTCCTGTCACCTAAAACCCCCTCCTGCCAGATGACACCTCCATTCCCCCACCACGGGGGGAGGGGAGGGATTGAGAAAGTCTCTCAAAGCTGAAGCTGTTTCTCCCAGTGCAACCTCTCTAGAAGACTGAAACGCGTCTGTATGACTGAGTCAAGTCTCTCAAAGCACACCGACCTCGGAACAGTACACACGTCCACAAAGACAGCACTGGCCCCTTCTCTCCAAGGCTGTGCCTTTGCCGGCGAGCTAGCAAACATCCCTGCACTGTTTCCAACACCGCAGGCCGGGCCACGTCTGGGTTTCTGACGCCATCGTTAGGAAAGATTCCCTAAGTGCCACTGACACGTGCTTCGCAGCATGGCTCGAGGCTGGTGGTTGGAGGTGGGTTTGGGGAGGAGGCAGGTTCAGTGCTCCAGGGCGCCCTGACCCCAGATTTCCTGCTCTCTGGCTGCTGTGGCTGTGCAGAGGGAAGCCTACCTGCCTCACTCGGGTGCCCCAACACCAAGAGGAAGTGACCGTGCACTCAGTGCAGTTAAAGGATCTCCTGCTCCCTCCCTCTGGGAGGAAGACAGCACATAGCTTCAGTGGGAGGTGAGGGGCGTGGGATGTGAAGACCGGCAAGAGAAAGAGGGGAGAACCCTGCCACCTGCTGCGCTGCCCTGACCCACGGCACACGTGCACATACACACACATGCGTGCACACGAGTGCAGGCCCCAGCCGCTGGGGGGGGAGGGGGCGGGGCTCTCAGCGCATCTGCTCACACGTGGGGTGAGGCGGGCGGGGCCCAAGGTGCCCACCTCAGTAGCCACAGCTGTGTGCGCCTGCCGCCCACACCCGGCACCAGCAAGGCTGGGTGAGGGCCGATGGAGGGTCCTTCTGTGTCCTGCTATGTCCTCCCCTCAGACCCCACACTCCTAGGGACAAAGACATCCAAGCACACCCACGGCACTGGGCTGGGCTGCCCTTAGCACTGGGCCCACGGGAAGGGGGCTGGCCCTGCGGCGCCTTGGGGAACGCAGACTGCCTGTGGGAGTGGCCCGCGGCAGAGCAGGCACCTCTCCTCCGCGCAGGCCTGGTTGGCAGTGGAAGGCCCGGGGGTGTCGCCGTCCAGTGGACATGGACACTGGAGGAGGCCGGCCCGAGCAGCGCCAGAGCTGCAGTCAGCGAGGCCCACGGGACTCCCAGCACCCCACCCCGGGGCTGCCATGGCTCAGCAAGGAAGGGGCTTGAGGGTCCACTTCCTATGGAGAGGAAGCCAGGGGAGCCACCAAATTTATGTCCCCACAAAAGCCTCCTCAGGGCTCATCAACAGTTTCCATGGCGAGGCCTCCCGGAAAGACTGAAGGTGCTCCCGGACAGCGAGCTGGGGCGGAGACCTCTGCTTTGGGTAGAGATGTCACGGGCCTTGGGAAGTGTGGTGTGCGGTTGACCCTCTACCCCTGCAAGTGACCGTCCCGTGTCTGGGACACACTCGCCTTGATCCTGCATCTCTCAGGACTCCACACCCACGTACCAGGCGACACCTCCCTGGCTGTGTGTCCGAAGCCTCCACTTCATCCCTTCTGACATAGAGGCCGTTAGGTGGCTTTATCAGTCAGGTGTGAATCAATGAATGACCTGGGAGCACACCCAGGTCTGGGGGCACATTCTGGGACTTGTGGGCCCAGTGACAGCCCACCTGCACAGGTGCACTCTCTGTGGGACAGCTGTAGCCACTGCCAACAGGATGAGGCCCTCAATGTCTGCAGAGCACCAGGGGTGCACCTCCAAGGAGCCCTGAGGCCCTCACAAGAGACTGGCCACCAGCCCAAGGGCCACTTCCCCAGGGGCGGGGGGAGGAAGCAGGGCACTAGATCTGCTTAGGTCACAGGCAGTGAACATATGCTGAAGACTGAGCCCCAAACAATGCCTTGTTTTACTACCCCTTATTTTTATTTTGTGGATAAATAGCAGAGTATTCACAAATTGCCCTTCAGGGGAAAGCATGCCTTGGGATGCACAAACGTTTTCTTAATGAAACTGCATTGCTTTATGGACGTGGGAAGAGAGGAAAGTGACAGTGACAGTGAAGGACCCTGCAGAGAACCGGTTTTTCCTGTGGACAATGTTCCGGGTCATCTCTGCTTGAATGTGGAAAGCCATGCAAACAAGCGTTTGCAGCAGAGCAAATCAAATTATACTTTCATAAGTCCAGGGGCATTTTTTTTATATTTGTGTTTCATTTGAAAAGTATTTTCATTATAACAATAATGAAAATTATTGAAAACTTAAACAATATAGAAGGAGACAGAATGCAAAGTTCTCCTTTCTAGCCCAAGCATCCCGACCCCACCCAGCCCCATGCCACCCTGGGCAAAGCACAAGCTACCGTGTTGTGCGTGTGCACATCTGCCTACTAAACAAGGGCTTGCTTCTTTTAATTAATGAAATCACTGCACAAATATACTGTTATGCTTTTTTTTCACTTAGCATATCACAGACATCTTTAAACAAGACTACTCTCAAAGACCCAGCTCTCTACGGCACTATTGGCTCCAGAGCACAGTACCCTGGGTGGTACCTTCTCTGACTGGTGGCTATATAGGGCAGTTTTGCTTTTTCTTTTTTTTTCTGAGACAGGGTCTTGCTCTGTCACCCAGACTGGAGTACAGCATCGTGATCATAGCTCACTGCAGCCTCAAATTCCTGAGCTCAAGTGACCCTTCTGCCTCAGCCTCCGGAGTAGCTGGGGCTAGGGGTGTGTGTCCCTGTGTCTGGCTAATTTTTCTTTTTCCTTTTTTTTTTTGTAGAGACAGGCCTTGCTCTTGTTCAGGCTGGTCTCAAACTACTGAGCTCAAGCAATCCACCCGCCTCAACCAACCTCCCAAAGTGCTAGGATTACAGGTGTGATCCACCGTGCCTGGCTGGCATAATCATTTTTAATCTCAATGGTTACTGAGAACCTCTCTATAAAAAGCCTGTGCGAGTTTAGGCTCTTGTCAGCAAGGGGGCAGGTTTCCCACATCCTAAGTAACTCTGGGAACTAGCCCTTTTATAATTTGTTCCAACCTGAAGGGCAAAAACATGCAGCTTGTTTTAACTTGTATTTCTCCAATGACTGGTAATTTCACATCTTTCTCTATGGTTATGGTAATTTTTATTCCTTTTTTTTCACAATCATATTAGTTTATTTATAGTTTTCTCGTTTATTTCTTATGTATTTATAAGAAATCTTTACACATTATGACTTCAAATCTTTGTTACATGGGTTGCAAAATTTTTTCTCCCAGTCTGTCATTTCTTTAAACTTTGCTGTGAGATTCTTTATAGGTGACATACATTTTTATGCCATCAAATACTATCTTTTTCCTTTATGGCTCCTAAACTTCCTGTTTGATTAGGAAGGCCTTCTTCAGTTTTCTAAAGATGTTTTCACCTAAGATTTTTGGAATTTGTATCTTTCTATTTAGATCTTTATTTGCTCTGGTTTTTCTTCTTCTTTTGGTCTAAGACAGCATACAGATAATTTTCTATTATCTGAAAGGCATGCATCTTTTGATCCAAAATATTATTTAAAAATTCAAGCAAGGGTAACAGAGATCTCAGTTTTGGAAACAGTGCACGGAATGACTAAAAGTTTCCCACCATCTTTCTTTTGAGGGGAACCCCTTGCCCTCAGGCTGAGTGTCCCCAGCTTTCCCGTAGGCATGCCACACTCATGGGAGCTGCTCTGCCATTGCTGTGACACCTGCACGTATGCCGTTGCCCTGAGGCTCCACACAGGAGTCATGCACAGCTGTGGCAGGTGTGTCTCAGCACACGGGAAGTGGGGTCACAGGCACTTAAGTAGTGTAGAATTTGCCTGGGGCAGGTTGGGGTCACAGGCTCATGGAAGCAGGAACAGGGTCCCCAGGGGGCTGCATATGGAGCCAAGTGACCCAGCAGGGATGTCCAGCCAGGACCCTTGGGTGACAGGAGTCTGGGGAGAGCCTCCGACACTATAGCACTTGGTCCTGCATGAGAGGCTCTTCCTGTAGGCAAGAAAGACCCCAGGGATGCCCTGGGCACAGGGCCACCATCCTAGCAACCGAGTCGTAGCTCAACTGCGTCCTATCTTGCTGCAGCGGCGATGTGATCCCCGGTGCACGTCTGGGTGGCCCGTGGTTCCCAGCTGGCATCAGCGCCTGGCGTGGGGCCCACCGCAGAGCCGCCAGCCCACAGTCCTACACGCAGCAGACTCCGGCTTTGAACTCAGGGCAAAACCTGTCAATGGAGACAGACCGCTGTCTCGTCTTTAAACCAGAGGAGACAGACAGGGAACCAGAAAACACGAGGTTTTACACTCTCCAGGCTGCCCATACTCTCCCGAGAGGGGCCGGCACATCCTCAAAGCAAAAACTATAGTGAGCAGAGAGGGTCCTGAGGACAAGCATGACACCTTCCGGACCCTGGGGTCCTGCACTGCAGATCATGTCTCCCTTCCAGACCGCTTGGAGCTCACCAGGGGGCGTGAGCAGCGCCTGCCTCGTGCCTGTCTTCCCGCCTGCTCGCTGCTCGCTCGCTTTACACAGAGGATCTACCAGACGCCTGTACCTGTTTTCGCGGGTGCACACAGCCTGGCGTGCACAGAAGGGACAGATACCTCGGGGTTGGGCTTGGGGTTTTGCTTGAGGGGGAAGGGGTCTAGAAAGGGAGAGCAAGGAAGAGACTAAATTCTGGGAGAACTATTAAAACAAAAGTTATTATTAGTTTTTTAAATAAAACCCACAAGAACAGTAGCATTAAGAAAATAATAGGATGCTTTGGGGTTTCTGAAGTTTTATGTGTCTAATGTGGATTCCGAACATAAACCACTGAGCACTTTTCTTTTATGTCAATAGCTACTGATGTCGACAGAAGAATGCCAAAAACCAGGGCACATAGGGAAGAATTTAAGGCCAAAGTCAAATTTTCATACCCCCCTGCCTTTTCTGGGGCTGTAGTTCATGAGGCTATAATGAATGAGTCACTGTGATCCAAACACCAGAAATTTTATAATAAACCCAGCCTAAAATTTACAGGAAGGCATCATAGCATCTTATTTTATTATTGTACAATAGTGACGGCAGTGATGATGGCATCTCTCTATTTTTATGGAAACATCTCCAGGAAATTTCAAGCTACCTGGTGGGGAATTACAGGAACAGAAGACTGTGCCTATCCCCTGGTGCGATGAGGAGGTGAACTGAGTCCCGCAGAAGGCATGAGAGTCTGCACTATTTTTAAGGAACCCTGGGGAAGTGTGGCTGTACCACCTCAGCTCGGGTGCACAGGCATTGCCATCTGTGGGGTGGTTAGCACGCCCTTCCGTGTGGTCTCTCCTCCACAGTTACTTATCTTCGAGCTCCAGATGTGCCCTCACTGCCCCTCTAATGGGCTGGGGCCCTCATTCGCCCCTTCCTTTCTCCCGACCAAGGAAACATCCTGACAGCATTCAGAAAAGTGCCACGTGGAACCCACACACACCATGGAGTGGCTGCACACCAGCCACGAAGTCCTCTGCCCACCCTGCGTGGCCACTTCCCACCCTCTCAACAGCAGCCCAGCCTCGCTCCCCTACACGCAGGGTGGCCTGGGGCATGCGGACCACGGCAGAGTCTGGCCCCCTGGCTGCTGACTGGCCCCTCCCAGGCCAGTCCTGGGCAGGAGGTGACCCTCCCTGGCAGCTGGGCTTGTCTGGCTGCCGCAGGGAGCTCCTGTCTGCATTTCCTTCCTGTCTCTGTCCTCCTCAGCAGACTCCGGTGTGGTGATAAGATGACAGCCTTGGGGGTGTCTTACTCTTTATTTATGGCTCCGTGACACTTTTAAAGTGCTGAATGTTCCTAAAGGCTGGTAAATTCTTTCCAAAATTCTACAGAGACCAGGCTGCGTGGCAGGAAGACGGGAGGGGCAGGAGCTGGAATCTACTTCGACTATAATTGCCTTGAGTTTGTGAACTGTTTAGTATAAAAATACTCTTGGAGATTTTAATGGTTGAATGAAAATTCACACTCATTAAACACCATGGTTGAGGGGGAAAATTCAGCCTGTGTTACAAGAATGACTTCACAGCTTGAAGTTCAGAAGCAAAACAATAAGAGCTATCATTTTACCGATTATATTACAGATTGTGAATTTTGTTTTCCTTGGACAGTGATTGGCTACTCCATCCTACAAGTAGAACAACGGGAAGGGAAAAAAGCCACCCCACAGAAACACCCTGATTTGGTGTCATCTGCTGGCTTTATCTTCCTTTATAATGTCCTTCCTAACACCCCCACCATGAGGGGCTCACTAGCTTCGGGGGCTCCCTTTGAACTCTGTTGCAACTTGTCACTATCTTGTTTGCGCCTGTGTCCTGGTCTTCTTCCCCTATAGAGTGAGCCCTTGTGTCCTCACCAGGTGGCATGTGCCTGGCACAGAGCAGGTGTCCTTATATGTAAGCTGATGCAAAAGCCCTAAGAAGGGAGGGAGCCCGATGGCCTCACCTGCTTGAATAGTGTCCAGCACAGAGCCACACTCCACCAAACACTCACATCTTCAATAGTGCTAAAGTTTTGCTAAAGATTTTCACATTTTGCAACAATTATTCCATAATTCCTACTTTAAGGAAGTGTGAACTGTAGCTAGAAACAGAGCCTCATGGTTACTGCTAGTTACCTGTTATATACACCCTATTTATATCCATATATTTATGTAAAACATTTTGCAAGATAATAAAATTGGGAAATGATACCTACGCTCTGTGGGTGAAGAGCTGAGAGGGAAGGGCCAGGTGTGGCCCAGGCACACCCCGCCTGCCTGCGGCACAAGGCCAGGTACAGCCATCAGCAGCGGACAGGGCCCTAGAGGCTCCCTCGAGTGCAGACTGCCAGCCTGTCCGGCCGGGTGGCATCGCTGTAATCTATGAAGGCCCAAGCATTCACCCAACACGAGGACTTTTCACCACGCATTTTAGAATCTAGAGTTTCGTGATCACTTCAGAAAGAAATTTACCTAAATACGTTCCGATCAAAGATGACTGACAAGATTTTCTGCAAAAGCAGCAGAGGAGTAAGAACAATTAGAAAGCGTTTAAAAGTCTATCCCATGCTATAAATGGAAAGAATACATACATGAAACCATAATTTCCCCTATAGGGTTCATTTAAAATCCACCCTCACCCCACCTCCACATTATTAATTTGGGAAAGCGGATCGGAGCGAGCGCTCACGCACCTTGCTCACAGCGAGCAGCGGAGGCTCGGCGGCCCGGCTTCCTCTGGCCTCTGCCTCTAGGAGTCCCAGGCCTCTTTCCTAATGGCTGCTGCCACTACATTGATGGCCTGAGAAACTGTTCAGTGAACTACTCATATCCTGAGAAACACATCTTTTCTTTCCAATGCTGTTTTCAACAACTCAGGCCAAAAAAAAAGAGGAAAGAAAATAGTACCCATGAGGTGAGTGATAGAATTTTCAGGGGAGGTTTTAGCCTCAGACAAGGAGCACTTGGATAGAAAACAAACTCCAAAGCGATAAACTGTGTATTTACACCCAACACCTCCAACAGGAACAAACTAACTGCAGGCTCAAAAGAGGATGATCAAGCCTGAAATGCATCTTCCCAAAAGGAGTCCCGGGCTGAAACGCGGAGCTGGCAGACCCCTCGAAACAAACTTCCTGAGAAAGAGTTTCTCCTCTGCTCAACTCTGGCCTCAGACCAAACTCTAAGAAAAGCCACAGCAAACCCCAAAGAGCATGCACCATCCACACCGGGCCTTCAGCAATGTACCTTTTCTTAAGAACAGGTCTTTAAACCGAGCCTCCTTCAGTGTGCTGTTGTTCAGGTGGTCCCTGGACATAATCGAGTCCTCTGCAAGTGGGAGTCCAACCGTGACGCAGCCCCCCCAATTCAAAGCATCCTTCAGCCTCAGGCAGTCTCCTCTCCAGGCAGCTCAGCGCTGCAGCTACAGCCAGCATGGGGTGTGGGAGGGTGTGAGAGTGGGTGTGTGTGTGTTTCTGTCTGTCTCTCTCTCTCTCCCTACAGTACCAGCGGAGCCCAGCCCAGGTGCTAGACTCAAACGCTGTGGCTCTGACCGCAGACTGTGGCTACCAATTATCAACTGCCATCCATAGCAATCAGGAGCTCTGTGGCAGGAAGCCAGCGGTGTCACCAAGCAGACAAGTCCAGGGTCCCTGATCCCGAGACGAGCTGAACACGCGGTGTTGTGTTGTTCACAGCGACACACGTCCAGGATTAGTCTGCATTGCTCAGGCTTGCCTCACACCAGACTTGCCACACACACAGGCGAGCAGAACACAGCTAGACGGCTCACCTTGTCCTATTATGTGCAATAATCTTTCTAACAGGCAAGCATCAACCCAGAAGGCAGAAAGGGGAAATCCGCAAATCTCAACACAATATTTCTTCCCTGGATCTCTGCCGGGAGCTTTCAGAGTTGAAGAAATGGAGAGAGTGCTTACCCAGGCGGCACGCGACTCGGACGCTCACACTAGTTTCACGTGCTTCTCCGCGGCGGGTCCGGCTGCAGGCCACCCACAGCGTCCTTGCGCCAGGAGCCAGACTGCGCTGCCTCTCTGGGTGCCCCTCGCCCCAAAGTCTCTAACTGATGGGAGCAGCCTGCACAGTTCCTGCAGCTGAGCTCTGCTCTGGCAAGCCGCGAGGCCACAGCCGCGGCAGGAAGCGCCGCGCTTGCCTCTCCCTGGGCTCTGTCTGCCCTGCTCTGCTCTCCCGCTTCCTCCTCTCTCTCATTTCTCAACGTGCGGCACAAATACATCACAGGGAAGACTTCAAAGGACGCTCCAGCGTCCTGGGTAGTGTAGATTATAAGGTTCAGAAATTAGGAAAAAGGATTCCAGGTATGGAGAAAAGGCAATTCAAACATGGCAGCAGGGACATCTCGGGAGGGCGCTTTCTCCTGCTTCACTTTGTGCGAGCACAGCCTCTTTTCCTCCAAGGTCTACACGGTTTGCCTCTTACATGTGTAAACATCTCCTGTGTATTTGGAGGCCCCCAGGCTGTGTGAAGCAAAGTCAGGGCAGGCTGCGTGTCTGTTGTGGTTTTCAAAAAAGCTCACGGGGTGGCCGGTGGCAGGGGCGGCGTGCCATGGCAACGCTGCAAATGGCCCAGCCACAGCTCTGTCCTGTGCCCAGAATAGCCTTTGTTTTCCCTGGTTAGGGTCAACAGGAATGACATGTGGGCCATAACAATAGTTTTGGCTATAGGAGGAGTTGTCAAAGCAAAACTAAACTCTGTTGGTTACTGCCAGCATTAGAAACAAGGACAGTGTCGTCAGCAGCCTGTCCCTGCTGTCAGCCGGGACACATCACCTTGGGCACGACAGCAGTGACCAGGCACTGATGTCACCACTGGGTCCTTGCTGGTCAGAAGACATCACCCTGTCCTGTGCCAGTTACCAGGGCAGGGAAAGAACAAAAGAATCACTAAGAAGACTCTTCAGAGGTTTCATGTAGATAAAAGAAACAGGACAATTCCAGCAAGAAAATTGTGTGATTTTTCTTGAGCAATTTCCAAATGAGAAATGCAGCTGTCCTCCCCTGTGTGATACTCTTCCTGATCCCCTCTCAGAGTCACCTGCTGGCGGAGGGGGAGAGTCTCAGGTCGCCCAGAGCAGACGGTCCTCAGAGAAGAGCCAGCTTCCGGAAGAGTGAGACAGTGCTTCGCTTCCAGCCAGGACCCCCACCCCGTCTCCAACTCTGCCCCATCCCGGGAGCCCTGGGAGTCCTTCTAGTGAGCTTATCCGCGTGACAGGGACCCTCTGAGACAAGTCCTTGCAGCGGACACTCGCAAATGGCACACGACTGCTGTGCAAGTCTGTTCTTTAAAATTAGGGATTTAGTCAACTTCATGGGACCTGAAAACCTCTTCTGACCTTTGTTGGGGGCACATTTGCATTTTAAAATGGCTGCAAATAGCTAGCTTTGGGTTTACCATTATTTAAAATGAATATTTCATATATTTTTTAAAAATCAACATCTTTTCATTTTAACGGCCGCAGGGGATTACTCCACTGTGTCTAAATACGCTGATTTTGTCTGTCTGGCTGCTTTGCCACTGGGCAGTCTGGTCATGGGAGCCAATCTTAATTAAGCTCCTGTTCACTGAGTTTAATGTTCTCACTTTTCAATCCATTTATAATCACTTTTAAAACTTGTCTTTATGGGTGAAAGTTTATTTTTCAAATGGGCGCTCCGTGGGGTTGGGGTGCGCGTCCCGTGCGTCCCCCACACGGCGCGGCGCCTCTCTTCAGCACCACGGAAGGGCTGCCGGGTGAGGCCACCATGGCGTGTTCTTGAGCTCTGTTCTTATTTCCTGAGGAGGCTGCTTCAGGAACAAAGTTCAGAGGTGAAATCGTGATTCAGGGGTTCACGCCCCGATAAACAGCTCCCTGTGGCCACGACAGTATGTGCATCACCAGACCTTTCAGCTGACAGTGCCAGTGTTTCTTTTTCCTGAAGTCTGAGAAAATGGTAGCGCACACAGCAGAAGGGTGTGGGAGACACAGGTCTGCTGAACACACAGTATGAGAGTGTAAAAAACATTTGCACTCAAGAACTCTCTCCTCCTCCTCATCTTTAAATGGTAACTTTAAAATGAGTGCTCCGAGGGGCTGACCAGCTCTACTAGCGGGAGTGTGTGTGTTAACAGGCGTCTCAAAGCTGCATGAGGCTCCGCATGTACGGCAGGGGCCTTGAAAATGGTGCAAGGCAGGGTCACCAAAGACACATTTTCACAAGGGTTTGTTGGTAGCAACAAGCACTTGAGACTCCAACGGCATATTCCAGGTTTCCTCTCTAAAGGTCTTCGGTTCATCAATCCATCTGACAAATATTTACTAAGTGCTTACAGTCCTTAGGAGGAAACACAGCTGGGCCTTCAGCGTGATGCTACGGAAAAGTATTTCTGCGGGGTGGGCTCGCCTCGGCTCCCACCTGCAGGTAGTTGCTCCTGTGAGGAGCCCGCCTGACTTGAGGGGTCGGTGGGAGCCAGGCTGCACAGGACAGGCTGAGGGGCTGGGGCCTCGCTGCCCGATGGCCAGAAAGAGGCCTCCCGGGCAGGGGTGCGACTGGGGCTATTGAGAGTTCAGCTCTCACCCACCCACTCCAAGTATGATAAGCCAGCAGCTCAGGGCTACGGAGAGCTCACTGGCTCCAGAAAAACATTTCTGGGTGGCAAAGGGGTGCTCTGCACCCAGGAATTCCTCTGTCATACAAGCCCAGTTAGCAGCTGGCCTGGGCCCTGGGTGTCTCAGTCCCGCCCAGCCATGGGATCTGCAGCACTTCACTCACAGCAGACAGAGATCCCTTGGAGAGTCAAAAATACCTCTGCAGTGGTTATGCAGCAAAAAGTTGGCATTTATCAACATTCATAAACATCCCCAAATTGCTGTGTGCTAGGCACTTTCAAGCATTTTATATCTTTTATCTTCACAACAGCCCTGTGAGGCACAACTTTCTTACTCCCATTTTACAGATGAGGAAACTAAGGCTCAGAGAGGGTGACTCTGTTGTTGCAGGTCACGTGGCTGAGAAGAGGCAGGCTAGGAGTTGGGGGCCAGGGCATCCCACTGGGAGGCTCCCACTTACCCCCATCCATCATTTTGCTCAATGGACAGTGAGCTTAGTATTATCCAGCAGTCAACACACATAGGGCCCCTGAGACTGACCAAAGGCTGTCAACGGGCCGAGGTGGACTGTTGTGATTGTTTTTAGCTGATTTGGGCACTAAGGGAATGTGCCAACTTGCAAATCCGAGTCAGAGATTCTGCGTCTCCACATGCGGCCACGAGGCTCTCAGAGCTATTCTGTGTCTCCTGCCTGTCAGCGCAGCTCCCACGAAGACTCGATGGCTCTGTCCGTCACACATTCCCATTTTATGACTGTGCTGTAAAATTTTGCTCTGAGATGGAACTTTCCACATAAAAATCAAGCCTTAGAATTTGGCCTTTAGAAAACAAAACAGTACATTTTAAGTAAGTTTGTTATGCTTAAAGTCACGAATGAGGATTTTAAAAGAATATAAACTTTCTGTTCCCACAGATTCAAAACATGGCAATAGTTTGATATTTGTGGGCATTAGCCCATAGCATGGAATAATTTACTAATCTATCCTTAGTGCTGAAAAGACTGCAACACAGAGGGGTCTCTATGCAGACATGTAAACACTCCGCACGTGCTCCCACGGCACATGTCGTTTGGAGAAATGCTAGCAGATATAAAAGTGTGTGACCTGATGGGGCTAGCAAGCCCACGAGGTGGATTAAAAATTTATTAAATAAATTAGTCCAAATTACATAGCCTTAAAATAACTTCCTAATAAGCAATAATACTCCCTGTATAAACAGACTTGCATTTACCTCTTATATTATCTATGCTACGACAGTTTTTTTCCTCCAAGGGAAAAGAGTAATTACATATTATTCCATGTTTATGATGGTATAGATTTTCATAATGGCTAAGCGACTTCCTACTAAGTGGGTTAGACACCTTGAAAACTGCAGCTACTCTTCCATGCCCCTGAGAAAATGGAGGCAGTATAAAGGTTTTATAGTGGCTCAATTCAGGGGCCAGTTAGACCGAAGTCTTGGTTCCAGCCCTGCCACCTAACTGTTAGCTTGAGTGGGACCTGTTCCCTCATCTATAAAATAAGGCTAGGAATACTTACATCACGGGGTGTCTGGGGATGAAACAGTGTGCTAACCCTGGCTATTCAAAGTGTGTCCAAGCACCAGCAGCACCAGCAACCTCTGGGAGCTTACCAGGAGCGCTGGATCTTCAACCTGCCCGGACCTTCAGAACCAGGGCCTCATTTTAACAAGATCCCCCTCAAGGCATGTGCATATGAACATTTCAGAAGCCTGGTATACTCCAAATGGCTCATTTGGATAAAACAGGAAAGCCAAGGGCTTAGAGAAACTGTAACTTGTGCACGCTACAACAGGACATGAGGACAGGATCCAGGTCTCCCGTTTTTCCTCACTGCCATTCAGCAATGATTTTAAAGAATGGTACTCAACATGCAAACGTCTGTGTGCACATGCCTGTGAAATAATAATGCCGCCCTCCCAGGCTAAGGGCAGGTGCTTCCTTCCGTCCTCCCACTTGTGCTGAGGGGTTGCTCCCGATCCCCCTGCGCCCGGTGGGAGAGCAGGCAGCGCCGACAGTGTTGTCAGGGCCCACAAGAACTGCAAAGCTAGCTGGAGGCCGGCGTGTCGAGACAAAGTCTCCAGAATATTTGGCATCCTTTATACAGCATATGCTAAGAGAGCATTCTATTAATAATTTTGCCTTCTAGAAAATCTCAAGTGCCAGGAGTGGACTTGTCGTAAAGGCAGGATTATGAAGATGCCATGGCACCATCCCTATGAAGCTGGCCCTGCTCTCCAAGTTCCCCCCGTCCTCCCTGCCCCTTGAGACAGCCAGATGCTAGGAAAACACAGGCCTGGCACTTGAGAGTATTGAAAACCTCTTTCTACTTCTGCTGTCTGCGTTCTGCTGCCTGTCGGTGGCTGGCACACCTCGAGTTGCTTTCCCTATCAATGAGGGGTATGCATGGTGCCGCACAAAACGGATGCCGCATCAAGGGGGCCTCTTACGGGGGCGGGGGAAGAAATCTACTCAGGTGAAGTACACGCATGCTCTACATAAAAATACACTGAATATTTTAATATTTAAAATGCTTAATGTGGTTATTCAGGAAAATATTTTATTTTTCTTTTCAAATATATTACATTTCTCAATTTTATTCCCCAAACCGGAAGGCTGAATAGCCTTTACAATTCATCCTATTTCTGGGCAGACCAGAAAAAACGAGACTCAAGATGTTTATAACTCAGATCCTAGACACCGCTATTGTAGTTCTCAGCTTTTAACTCCCTAAAACTTGTAACTATCCCTTGAGAGGCCGAAACCCCACTTTCGTTAGCACTGCGACCCAGGCAAACGCACACAGGCATGCGTCTGCGTCTGCGGCTCCCACCGCGGTGCACGTCGTCGCTAAATGACTGACGACTGTGGCTGTCACTCCTGCAGCTGCAAAGACAGCGGCCCCTTAGCAATGGTGAGCGTTTCTTGGACGATCCGACTGTCAAGGAGAGGCACATACTATCATTTCTAGAGCTCCTCTTTGTCTTGCTTATAAATTCCAGGATGTGTCCAGGTAATTGCAAGACCTCTAGCTTTTGGCCAAAGCATTAATTTCAAAGGTTGAGCTAAAGCCAAGGCACTGTGTTAGAGCATACACTAAGGCAAACACTAGAGAAACTGTGGGCCCAAACCCCCAATTAATCCAAAATCAGCCTCTATACCAGAGCTATATAACCATACTCTGCTCTCATCTTTGGCACTTTAAGACCAGCCTAGCACACAGATGCATTAAAAACAAGAATGCACCACCTTTTGGTGTCAGATGGTCTTTGAAAATTCCAAGACGAGGTTGATCCTCGTCTATGTCAGCTCTAGAGCTACATTCAGCAGACACTGAGCCCTTCCTGTGTGCCAGTCGCCGCGATGGGCTGGCGGACTGGCAACAGCTAGGAACCGTCCTCGTCTGTGAGGTCCCGAGTCACATCTCGAGCAAGAGCTAGCGAGCGGCGAGACCCCAGAGCAGCACCCACCCAGCAAGGCACTCGGCACGGAGCGGGTGGCACGGCAGTGGAGGGTGCTGCACTAGCCCCAGTAATGGCGACGACAATGACTGGCACTTAGGCACCACTCACTATGCCAGGCAGTATCCCAAAACACTTTAAGTCATTTAATCAGGCCATTTAATACTTACAACTACCAGGAGATAAATTCTAGTTAGCACCCCAATCTTACAGATGAGAGAATGGAGGCACAGAAGGGCCAAGTAACTTGCCCAAAGTCACACAGCTAGTGAGTGCAATGCCAAGACTTGGATCAGGGAGTCTGGATCCAGAGTCTGTTCCAGCTACTAGATCAGGCTGCCTCTAAAGACAGCAGGTCCAAGGATGACACTCCTGAGCCAAACCCTATTTTTAGAAGGCTCTTGTCCTATAAGGCCCATTTAAAAGGCTCAAGGAATGAATTATTTCCCCCAGTCCAGAGTCTTAGGAAGCTGGAAGAACAGAGAAGACCTGGCTCCACCGTCAGGGAGGGAGGTCTTCAGGCCTCGGGAAGACACTCCTGCAGGCACACTGCACCATCGGCACTCCTCCCTCACGCTAACCTAAGCCGTCCTCTGGTAAATTAAGGCTATTGTCTGTTATCCTTTTCCTTTTCTTGGGCCCTGAAAAGATGAAGTTTTTGGTTCTGTACTGGTAGTATAAAAAGGTAAATAAAAAACTTAAATATTTACAAAAATCAGAGTTTTCTAGAATAAAAACTCTTCCGTTGAACTTTTTTTCTTTACTATTTCTAACGTGTTTATTATGTCTGCGACCCTTCCATTTCTTTCTGACTCAGAGTGCCGTCCACATTTAGAGGTCGACGGGACCTGCTCCAATGCTGCGAATCAGAGTGTGACTGAAGGGACTGTTCGATTCAGCATCTTATCGATTTGTGAACTAAAAAGTGCCAAAACTAAATGATAATTTTTAAATGCACTATGATGTTAGTCAGATTTGTTTAAAATGAGGAATCTTTCTATGTAGGCAACAAACCACAACAGGGAGACAGGAAGAGCTGAGGTGTGCAGTGAAGCCCTGACCGCCCCTCTCACGAGGACCCGTCCACCGGGCTTCGCGATGACATCGTGCCGCCACGACAGACAGAAGCCAGTGGCTGGGGAGCAGGGCCACTCTCCTCAAAGGCCTGAGGGCACCGTGCACGTGGGTAAGGGGAACATGGCCCTGTCTGGATTCAAAGTGACAGGGTCATAGACAATCGAGTCTATGAGTCTCAGCAATAGTAAATACACACATTAGGAAAGCAATAACTTACAGTGAAATAGAGTGGCAGTAATAAAAATGTCCTGAGTTTTCACAGGAGGAATGACTTTCTGGCAGAAATACATCTAATTTTGGTTAGATAAATCAAACTGATTTTTAAAAAAACGTGGTCAGAAATGGTAATACTAAAAATACCTTTACAATTTTTTTTTTCTTTCTGTAATGTACCTTACAGAGAAAAATTCCTGACTAGTCTACCACATTAGTCCTCTGAGAGGCAGGAGTCCTGACCAAGTTGGCCTCGGGGTGGCAATTCGGTCACACACGCTCTTCTTGGTGATTTTTAGCTCAACTAATGAGACAGCAAATGGTGAATGAACCTTGATCAAATTCCAGCTGAACAACTTGTAAGTCTCAGGCTACAGATTCTCTCTGTTGCCCAAATGTCTGGAACATTACAGCTGTAGCCCCTCTCAACAGTCAGGAGACCCAGGTCTTGTGCCACCCGCCTGCTACCTGCGAGTGACATTTAAGTCACACAATTGCACAGTCCTCAGACGTCGAATTGCTGGGACCCAATCAACATTCTACATGCTTCAGCCCTTCAGTGACACACTCAGGAGTCTTGAAGCACCTGCACTCCACATGTACTATGATTTGTTTAATACAGATTTTTAACTGGACTTTTAATTCTTTTTTTTTTTAAAGATACCTCTAAGTAACAACATCTA